AATTTTACAAAATTATTCCATAGATATTCTTGTTTCTAGAGCAGATGGTCGTTTTACCAGAGCGGAATTTAGTTTTGAGTTTATTTGTAATAAAGTTGATGTTTTGACGAAATTGACTATCTTTCTCATTTTAAAATACACATAAAAAGTAAAAAAAGTAAATAGTAATAATAACAAATAAATTTTAAATTAATTAAAACACATTCCATTATTTTTTTTGTTTTTATTTAATTAGAAAAATGACTAGAGGTAGTGTTTGTAAAAATTATGGTCCTTGTGTAGTATGTGGTGAAGAAAATATTAGTGAAGAATATAGAAAAATTACAGAATACTCTATAATTAAAGCACACAACTGTCCAACTGTTCAATCTCTAAATGTTAAACTCCAAGTTGGTGACCAATTATGCAAAAAGCATTACAATGAATTAATTAATTATAACCGAAATTACAGACCAAATCATAAACAAAATATTGATAAGGATACATCTTTCTATGCAAAAGTAAATCAACATAAATGCATTTGTTTAAGTGAAAAGGATTATCAAAACCTCTGTAATAAAGCTGTGAGTATTGAACAATTAACACAAAGAATCAATGATCTAGAAGCAGAATTGGGTTCATATATGATTGAAGTGGAAAATCACATAACAATGGTAACTTAATTATTTTATGTTATAATTGCCCAAAAATTGTTTAGATATGTATTATAAATAATTTATGATTGCTACAATACACTTTTTATATTAAACCATAATAATTGTTTTAAACTCAAACCTGCTAGGTTTGAGAAATAAAAATTTGTGTTATATAAATAGTACCCAAACAATTTTCACAATATTTCAATGAACAAATTGAATGAATGACTAAAGTGATATATCAATATCAAAATAATAATATGCCAATTTTTGATGTTCAAGAATTTGTGAAATTAATCAAAAGCCATGATCCAAAACTAGAAGGATTTTTTGATGCTTTATATGAAGCCATGAATCCCAAAAATAAAAATCAAAAAACTCAGTCATTGTTAAAACAAAAGGTTATGGTTGCTGTGCTATCAAATGGCTGCACTGTGTAATAAGCAGATAAGTGGTACCAAAACATCCATTGGATTGTTTCTTGCAGAGTCAGGCACTTCTACTAGTGGTATAAACACCCTTGCAAACATTGGAATAAGTGCCACATATCAAACAGTATATAATAAGTTGGAAAAGTTTGTTGAAACACATGAAGAGACAGTACAAGTATATGTTAAGAAATCAGTATGTTTGATTAAAAAATTCTTGCATTGTTTAAATTTGTAAATTAAACAAAATACTAATATCATTTTAGTCCAAAAATCTTTTAATAGGTTATATTGATGATTATCACAACTTGCATAGTACTCGAATTCCAAATGTAACATCTACTTCCCAAGTTGCTCATATGGCAACTATTTTGTTTGATACAGTTTCTATACCACCCATTCCATATTGCAATGAAAATAATGACCCAATACATAATCCAAAAGGAGTTGATGCTTCAATTATCAAAAAGGCTCTTCATGATGAGTATATGATTTTATTAGCAAAAAGTTATAATTTGAAAAAAGCTAATTGGAAAGAAATTTCTGACCTGATAAAATTTAATGAGCCTGAACTTATACATCATTGGTAGTTCATTCATATGACATTGATATTTATGAAAAATATGGATGTAAGTTTACTCAAACTAAATTTGTTGATTTTGTTGAACTTGACTTAAAAAATACAAAAAATTATCTTCAAGCTGTTGATTCATTTATAGGTAATTGTTGTTATATAATTGTTTTGTAATAATGAGTTTTATTAAGATTACCTGAAGTGAAAAATTACTTGAGTGATAATATGCTATTCATCCCTGCTGATTATCCTGGACAGCTGTACTTAAGGAGAGCAGTTGTAAAAAGACTTAATTCAATTGATAATACCAGCATCCCAAAGGAAATTCTTCATATACTGTCATTTTTAGGCCCATTGCACCTTTCACTTAATACATGTGAATCAGTCTTTTTGACATTTTGGGGCTTTTTGATTCAATGTATAGAACAGTATTTGGGAAGAAAAAAAAGCTAGCTGCAAAACCAAAGCCATGGATAATGAACCTTTTGTTATATCTTGCACATGGAGGATGGCAAATTGTTAAATGTTTTGTAATGAGAAGATTTAAAAATTCAAAAAAAAACAGGATATTTAATATTCTTAGATCTGTTAGACAATTTGGTCCATGTAACTCTTGATGTCTACACAACCTTATTCTGAGGGAATCATCTTGATGAATATATAAGTGCAGTATTTCATCTTTGGTGTATTATGAAACATTTCCAGAGACACAATTATGATAAAATTATTCTTGCATTTTTGTCAGACATCCAATACTGGAAACAGATCAAACATCCTATAATGGATACATTGAAGAATAATTTAAATAAGTTGGATGAATATCGTGTAGAAAATTTCCATAGTTTGGTTCAAAGACACACAAATGCAAAAGTGAACACAGCCAAGTCTCTCAGGCGTGATGCATTATTTATTGACCATTGCAAATCTGAAAATAACTTCATGTCATCATTTGCACCAAAAAAAGATTATCCTTATAAAAAAAAAGATCTTGATGAATTAATTAAAAAAACTGCATTATTTCTTTTGGATTTTTTTGATGAAATTTCAAAAAATGATGGTAGAGTAGAAAAGAAAATGGAAGGCAAAAACATCAAAAAACCTTATTATTATATTTTGCCAATTAAATCTGGTTTCTGTGCTGGTGTTTTGCCACTTGGGTACCATACAAAAACATCACCAATTATTGAAAAGTTATGTGATTATGATAATTGTAAAATATCAAGTACAGATTTTCAAGTATTAATATGTGGTCATTCTTACCATGAAGAATGTTTTCAGGTGTTAAGACTTCAATGCAATTACTGTTATTCCTATCTTTCAGGTGCCATTGATGATCTGACAAAATCTTATAATGAAAGACTAAACATGGATGAAGATATTAATAATGAGCCAGATTTGGAAATTAATTTGCAATCAGAAGATAGTGATATGGATGCTGCTAACATTTTAAATATAGATGGAGAGATTGATAGAAGCTTAAAAGAAAAAATATCAGGTAATTATAAAATTTATTAATGATTGGATAATTCAAAAAATTAATAATTTTAATAATTTTAAAAAATGCTTAGCTTTTGTAGAGAAATAAATTGCCAACTGAAACTACTGATTATCAGATGGATCAGATGGAGATACATTTCATAATATTATTAATTTATTTTAACATAATATATATATGGTGCGTATCACCTATACTCATCAAAAAATGCCAATCAGTCCGAATTTTTGAATGTACAGTCCCCCAAAAAAGTAATGGCGGGGTGCATTTTATGCTGTGTAATCCTTTTTATGGTGCGATTAGTTGCTGTTTGGATATATTAGGTTACTACCGGTATACTTTGAGACTTGTACTACACTTTTTGTTTACTTCGAATCTGAATACTTTGATTAGTAAAGCATATTACTTTGACAAATGGAAAATTTTTCTTTAAAAGAGAACCGCGAAGTGGTTAAGAACTTGTGGCGACAAGGCTACAGAAGTCCAACACAAATCTCTCAAAAGACTAGTGTTCCTGTGAACGATACGTAGCTCACCTTCGCAAAAATGGCAAAATTCCAAAATTCATTGTTCTGGACGCCCACGCAAAGTTTCACCAAAAATGCATCACCAGATCGGCAAAATCGTAAATTCGAATCACTTCGTTACAGCAGGTGAAATCAAGGCTCGACTTGAGGAAACCCACACAAATTTTGAGGCAACTGAACAAACTATTCGTAATGAACTTTCTAGACTTGGTTATGTTGCTACTTTACCAAGACGTGTCCCTCTTCTCACCGAACAAGCCAAACAAAACCGGTTGGTGTGGGCTCAAAGCCATTCACGTTACAACTGGCGCAAGGTCGTATTTTCCGATGAAACAACTTTGCAGATGTTTCGAAACACTTGTTTGGCTTGGTCGCATTCTGACAAACCCATTCCACCAATGGTGAAACACCCATTTAAACTTCACATGTGGGGTGCAATTTGTGCACATGGAAAAGTTGGAATGTGTACGTTCGTGGAGAACATGGACCGACACCTCTATTGAAAAATTCTCAACGAGAATTTATATGACAATGCAAATAGCATTTATGGTGATCAATGCTGGGTTTTCCAGCAAGATAACGATCCCAAACATACTTCGAAGGATGTTCGTGCAGATCTTGAATTGCATCTGCCAAAGCGGGTTTTGCCTTGGCCATCATATAGCCCAGATCTCAACCCGATCGAAAATATCTGGGCAATTCTCAAGCACAATGTAGAGAAGAGGGTCAAGGCAATGGTGGCGCAAAAACAGAATGTGTCACAGGAGGCATTTATTGCGTTAGCAAGGGAGGAGTGGAATAATATACCCGATGATGTAGTTCTTAGATGTGTTACTAGTATGTTAAATCGCATTCAGGCCTGCATTGACGCAGAAGGATGACATACTAAGTACTGATTTTTTATAGGTATATTCTCTACCTAAATGTGGTCTGGATATAAAAATTTGGAAATATGTTCTTATGTAGAAAATTTTTTTATAATAAAAAAACACCCCGCCATTACTTTTTTGGGGGACTGTATACAGTTCACTCTCTCTATAACGGATCATTTGTCTGGGGAAAAAAGATCCGTTATAGAGAGAATCCGGTATAGAGAATTTTGTTGATCATCACATGATTAAGTTAACGAATAAAAAAAAATTTATTATTATTATTATTATGATTATAAAAAAATAATTATTCAATATTAATGTTCAAAAAACTATCTAATGTAGATTGTTTTTTTGAATTAA